CTAGTGCGGGGCATGTAGCATATGTTATAAAGAAACCCTAAATTTAAAAAACCCGCAAATATTAAAACACATAAATGTTTAACTTGCATAGCAAAGTAATTGTATTTTTTTATTTGCTGTACAGCCAAATAATACAACAAATCGTTAACCTTAAACACCCAGTCGTTCATAAAAGTTGAAGGCGGTATAGTACTATAGAAATAGAGCAAGTGCAGAATCACTGAACCGGAATTGATAGCTTGAAAGCATTTATCGCGAGGTCCTTGAAAGTGCGGGGCCCGTAGCTTTATGTAGCTACTTTTGTAACTGGGATAATCCGGCACTGGTCGTGGCGCGGCCGTCCCAGTTGCCGCTCAAATCCTCGGGGGGCGGCGCGGGGGGGGGGGCTCACAGTGGCCACCACCGCCGGACGGTTCTCATGCATGCGTCGTGTACGTCTTTCGTACAGCACGTAGCCAGCCGTGCTAATCGGAGATCGTGGTCGTGGTGGTGGTCGCCGCGGTTGTCGCTCTCTGGGTGCGTGTCGACAGAACTACGTGAAGGTCATGCGGCTGTTTGCGGGCGATCCCGTGTGGACGCCGTACAACCGCCCGTCGGACGACTTGGAGGAGCGCAAGGAGTACGAGCACAAGTTTCTCGGCCGCAGCGGCTGAGCAGCGGGGAGGGGGCCCCCCGCTCGGCGCGCGTCCCCGAGAACGCCGACCGTCCCGGCGCCAGCGGTAGCGGCAGCAGCAGCAGCCACCGCGGGACACCGTGCTCGGCTTCCATAGTCGACGGGATATCTGTTAACCGTAGCTTACCACAGCCAATATGAGGAGTCGTGGGTTTTCCCTTTTTTTTGGGTTAGGCCACGCGTTGATCCGGTAAAAATTTGTGTCGTTGACCCTCCACCATACGGCATTGCCGAGTGAACGCGACACGCCGCTAGATTTGTCAGAAATGTCTCAAGTCACCGGCGGGCTGAAACGAATGTGGCGGAGGGCCCGGATCATCGCTGGGCCCGACCTGCGAATCTACGTTCGGTCGGGACTTCTGCCAAGAGGCATTAGAATGACACTGGCCATGAATCGTAAGGCCGCCGGTCATTTCTAGCTAATTTAATTACTTAAATTGCCGCGCATGCTCTCGCGCAACCTCAGTGATTTGCTTCAGTGCTCGCCCGGATCCCCGAGTTATTACAATCGGTGCTCCTCTGATTGAATCGTAGGGCCACGTCGTTTCGAGGCTGCGGCGGCTCGAGGTTCTAATAAAGCGAGAAAGACGAGTGTTTCCCCTTTGCTGCCTGAATCGTATTTCGCACGAACTCTCAACTATTAAACTAAACTATGTTTTATTTTACCAGGTAAGGCCCGCTGAGCCACGTAGTTCTTTTTTTAGAAGCGTAGAAGCGGCCTGGCCACAAATGATAGCCCAACGAAGTGGCTTAACGGGTGGAAATTTATAGCAGCCAAATTCTTTAAATGCTTCATGTTGATTCTAAATGCAGAGCGAAAAACCGGAGGACCCCGAGAAAAATCCACGCGACCGCTGGAGAATACTAAAATTCCAAATATACAGCAGGTGTCAATGTCAGGATCGAACCCACAACCTCCTTTATACCAGGCGAGGTAGTTAACATCTCACCACTGCGGCGCCGAGTGGAGGGGCTGTTCCAAGCGCGTGCCACAGCTGCAAGCTTGCACGTGAAGTAGCCAGCAACACTCAGCACCGAGAGAGGGCTAATAGACTATATAACGTGTCTTAGTTTGAGCAAGGTTATTGGTAAGTGCGTGAGGGGGTGTGTGAGTGAGTGGGTGGGTGGGTGGGTTAGTGAGTGAGTGGGTATGTGAGTGGGTGAGTGGGTGGGTGGGTGAGTGGGTGCATGAGTAGGTAGGTGGGTGGGTATGTGAGTGGGTGAGTCAGTGGGTATGTGAGTGGGTGACTGGGTGGGTGGGTGAGTGGATAACTGGGTAGGTGAGTGGGTGGTTAAGCAGGTAGGTGAATGGGTGGGTGGGTGAATGGGTGGGTGTATGGGTGGGTATGTGAGTGGGTAGGTAAGTGGGTAGGTGAGTACATAGGTGGGCTAGTGGATTGGTGGTTGGGTATGTGAGTGGGTGGTTGGTTGAGTGGGTGGGTGAGTGGGTAGGTGAGTGGATGGGTGATTAGGTGGGTGAGTGGGTAGGTGAGTAGGCCGGTGAGCGCGCACAGTGCGTGCGAGAGGGCAACGTTGAACCTTGACCGGTTTAGTTCCACAGCCCTCCTTAGAAACGGGACTCGTGCGACCCCAACGCTCGTCGTTTTTTTTTATTGCAGCAGCCGCGTTGGTTCAAAACAAGCAAGCGTCCGTAAAGTTAACGGTGCGAGTATCGGTGAGCATAGGGGGGATAGCCGCCGCACAAGACAACAACCCCTGCATCGCACAATTGGCCGTTTCCTGACCACGCGACCGAATCAAAGGGAAAGAACCCCAGCAGGCGTTTCAACCCACCTCGTGTGTCGCATCAATGTTTACTGGCAAGATGCCCAACACATCAGTCCCGATAATACATGGAACACCGAGTGTGGACGACACCAGCACCGGGAGCCACAACCATTTTTCCCAATTTAATTTCAATATTTCAAAGACTCCCCCCCCACCCCACCAACATGTTTCATGCACTCGCCTTAACGAACCCCCTTGTTTAGGCAAAATATCAAATAACCAAATTTTTCCTTTCTAATAATTGTCGCTGCTGCCCCCCGTGTCTATCAGCAACTTTACAGCAACATCATTTAACAACCCCGAAATTGAAGGACGATCCCACCAATCCGCAGCCCTCATCCTACGCTCCGAAGCGTTTCCACCAGGGTTTTTTTTTTGGACATTGAACAACGCTGGCAAGCCAGGGCGGAGGTTCACGGTTCGAATCCAGTGGCCGTCCTGGTTGGTGATGCGGGTGTAGTAACCGTGGCAATACTCCACGCCGCCCGCTTCACAGCGGACGCTAAAGGATCCCCCGGCGTCGATTGTGAGGGTAGCCCGTCGTGTGGCAGTGTCGGTGACCATACGTTGCCAGATTTGCCAAATCTTGGCAGCCTCATGTCCCAGGCTACACTGCAGATAACGCCGCCTTGGTCTCCTGAGGTCGCAAGAGACCAAACGTTTATAGAGACGAGGGCCTTCTCTGTTCAATGTGGGTCCGAGATGTTAACTACATCCCCTGGTATACAGGAGGTTGTGGATTCAAACCCGACCCTAACGCCTGCTGTATATTTAAGTTCGCGTGTCTCTCTCCCTGTGGTAGTGTGGATTTTCTCCAGGTCGTCCGGTTTTTCCCTCCGCAGTTAGAATCAACATCACGCGTTCAGAGTATTTGGCTGCTCTAAATTTCCACGTGATGATGAGCCTCTTCGTTGAGCTATCATTTGTGGCCAGATCGCTTCTAAAAAAAAGAGCCGTACAGCTCAGTGGGCCTTACCTCGTAAAATAAAAATATATAAAGGCGACGTCGCGCTGTGCCTCCTCAGCCACTGCACAAACAGGAGGACACCAGGAGTGGTTTTGTTGCGATAGCGAAGTTTTTATTTGTTCATTCAGACTCGGGCTGCATTTCCCGTGCTGCAACGCCAGGTGCAAGCGGCACGCTCGCACGACGAGGATACGACGTGGATTCGCTCGCTACGATTGCTACGCTCTCTACGATCGCGACGACGATCCCGACGCTCGCGACGACGATCCCGACGCACGCCGAAGCCACCACCCCGCACTGCCCGAGCAGCTGAGCAACCCCCAGGGGCTTGGCACCCGTCGTCGCGTCGACGAAACTCGGCACCGAGATCGCGCCAGAAGAGGCGTTGCACCGCACTTCAAAGTCGCGTCATCTATATATCTCTCTCCCTCGGCGTCCGTGACGACGGCGTCAAATCACAGCGAGAGCCGACGGTGCGGCCGAGCAGACCCAACCAACTGTGGGCCCCGTGCGACGGGCGGCGGCGCGATTTGCACCGGTGTCGTCGGTGGCAGTTCGTGGCGTTTACCCGGCCCGGCGCCTGTGGCAGAGAGATTCCCATCACCGATCGCGCGGCGCCCGGCTTTGCAAAAGCCTCGGTTTTGCCGATCTCGGTCCCTAGTTCCGTCGTGGAGACACGTTCACAGCGCACCCTCATCCGGCCTGCCGCTGTCAACACGAGCGAGGGAGTGAGCGAGCAAGAGGGTGAGCGAGAGAGCGAGCGAGTTGGTGAGCGAGAGAGCGAGCGAGAGGGTGAGCGAGAGGGCGAGCGAGAGGGTGAGCGAGTTGGTGAGCGAGCGAGCGAGAGGGTGAGCGAGTTGGTGAGCGAGCGAGAGGGCGAGCGAGTTGGTGAGCGAGAGAGCGAGCGAGTTGGTGAGCGAGAGAGAGAGCGAGCGAGTTGGTGAGCGAGAGAGCGAGAGAGCGAGAGAGCGAGCAAGAGGGTGAACGAGAGCGAGTGAGAGGGTGAGCGAGTCGGTGAGTGAGAGGGCGAGCGAGAGGGTGAGCGAATTGGTGAGCGAGAGGGTGAGCGAGCGAGAGGGGGAGCGAATTGGTGAGCGAGAGGGTGAACGAGCGAGAGGGGGAGCGAGTTGGTGAGTGAGAGGGCGAGCGAGAGGGTGAGCGAGTTGGTGAGCGAGCGAGAGGGTGAGCGAGTTGGTGAGCGAGAGAGCGAGCAAGAGGGTGAGCGAGCGAGAGGGTGAGCGAGAGAGCGAGCGAGAGGGTGAGCGAGAGAGCGAGCGAGTTGGTGAGCTCTGCGGGGGGGCGTGGAGGGGGGAGCGTGGAGGAGCCCTCGCCCAGGCCCAGGGCACACGCCTTTGGCCAATTTTGATTCGGGACAGAGAGCCAGGTCAAGTCTTGTTTCACAATTGGAGTTCACATCGTGCTGCGCCCGACGCGCGATGTTCAGCAGGGGAATTTCTGTTCAAACGTTCAGTGCTGGGCAAACATCTCAAATACGTCTTCATTGTTACGATTACTTCCGTAGAATGCCAGTAATGAATCATTGTTATTATTCGTATTGAGTCATGCCATTGCTTATTTCCATCACTGTAATATACAGATGTCGTTGTACGTGTAGGCTGCACACGTACACCGAGTTTGCTCGCTTTTCGATCTTCCTCCTCCCCCCCACCGGTTTTACCAACAAACCAAATGGGGTGGCGGCTGATTATCCCCATGTGACAACTCCATTGGTTCTGTCGGGCGGTGGAGGGCATGGCTGAACACTGGCGTCGTGAACTGCATGATGCTCTAGCCCCACGAGTATTTCGTTACGCGAACCAGAAGTCGCCGGATCGTTCGCTCGCCAATTGACGAACGAAGATTCTCGTAATTTTTGGGTGCCTCCCCTCTCTAATTTGGGGGTCCTGGCACGGTTGTGGGTGTGGACGGGTGGAGTGGCGGACCACCAGGCAGCGTACGAGCACCGCGAGCGACGTTGGCATTGAGCATGGGGGCGGGGGGGGGGGGGTGGGAGGTATTTCGGGGTTCGGCGCGGCGAGGTCTCGACACGACAAGATCCGGGACGGAGCCGGACCGGCACGGCCAGAAACGCCAAACGCAAGCCCCGCCCGGTGCGGAGGGGGGAGGGTCGTGGGTAACCGAGGGGCCGGTACTCCCACGGACGCCAACGGTGACGCCGGCGGCTAGTTGCCCTTGCGCTTGGAGAAGACGAAGGACTCGAAGCTGTCGCCGCCCTCGTCGCCACGGAGAGGGAAGCCTCCGTAGAAGTCGTAGAGGCCCAGGTACTTGGAGGGCATCTGCATGGAGGTGCGCGCCGGGCGGGACTGCTGAAGGAAGCCGCCGCCGCCGCCGCCGCCGCTCACGAGCATCGCCGGCAACTTGGCGGTGACCAACCGGGACTCCTCGCCCTCCAGCAGTTTCCTGTGGAGAGACGCATGCAGGAATTGGATGCCGACTTCATAAAGATTTCTTTTTTTAACTCTCCGCTGCGGTTTTTGGGTCGCATCGCGCGTTGCTCGGTACCGGTGTCCGACGTTTCGCTCCGCACGCCGGGAACCTCCGGCGCGCAGGGCGAACCGCCGTGCCGGACGACGTGCCGAACGACCCGCGGCACGACCACGGAAACCTGCACTGGAGAAACCTTGCTCTCTCTATTGTTGGACCGTGCTGTGTGTACATCGATTTGTACCGGAAGATTCTGCTGCCAAATGTCTCGCCACGCCCGTCTTGGAAGCTCACCTCATCCTATCCCCCCTATCCCCCCACTGGCTCCCAATCAAACTTCAAGATCGCACTCCTCACCGCCTGCAAGATCGTCCCTGGAATCCTCCTGCCTCCCTCCCCCTCTCATCTCACTCTACTCCCCTCCAGGCACTCTCCTACCTCTCCCCTCTCACCTCACTCTACTCCCCTCCACTCACTTTCCTACCTCTCCCCTCTCACCTCACTCTACTCCCCTTCACTCACTCTCTGCCTCAGCAACCCAGACATTCTGTGAGAGCCCCCACTCAAACCTTGGCTCAGATGGGAGGTCGCCCATTCTCCTCTGCTGCTCCCACAGTCTGGAACCCCCTTCCCCCAGTCACCCGTGCTGTCGACTCCCTGCCCCTTTGCAAGTCCAGGCTCGAGGCCTTCCCCTCCCCCTCTGCCTAGGCCCACGCCCCCTGTCCCTCTGCAACTTTGACTCCTGAGCGGAGTCACGGCCCAGGATCATGGAATGGCGGTGGCCCCCGGATGGCGACGGCCATGAGCCTGCACCGGTAGGCCGCGATCTCGATGTCGAGCGCCATCTTGACATTGAGGAGGTCCTGATAGTCCCTCAGGTAGCGCGACATCTCGTTCTTGGCGGACTGCAGCTCTGTCTCCAGCTCGGCGATGCCCTCCTGCAGGCGGTGTGGGGGGGGGGGGCAGAGAGAGGTCACGGTCAGACACCTCGCTTCGTGGGGCCCGCACGATGCACCGCGAGGCCCTGTGCGGTGGGCGGGGGTGAAGATTCGCGATCCTCACCGCGGCGGCAGTCAAATGAGCATTGAAACATCGATGCTCATCTCCTGTTTACAACCTTGCACAGCCAGTAGGGGAAATTGAACATTACTACGGCGGGGGCGAGTCTATGCATAGGACACAACCACTGAAAAATAAGAATAGGTTTTATCCTTTGGCAATGAAGCAGGAGGTGTTCCAGATGTTCAAACACCAAATAGATTAACCTTTTGCAAGTAATTAAGTCTGCATTAACCACACACAGTACTTGTGGTGAACATGCAAACAGAACATAGCTATGATATCTAGATTTGAACTTTTCGTGACTGCAGGGATCCATACTCTTTGGTTCTTTCGGTAAAGTCACGTAGTAGGTATAAAATAAAATAAATTAAATCACGACGTTTCGGGCGCAACACAAGCGTTCGTCATCAGGTGGGACAGCCACAGCAATAAACAATCAAGAAACAATTGCTGAAGTGGGCCAATTGTTTCTTGCTTTGGTTGTCCCACCTGATGATGGACGCTTGTGTTGTGCCCGAAACGTCGTGATTTAATTTATTTTATTTTAAACCTACGTGACTTTACCGAAAGAACCAAAGAGTATAGCTCTGATAATTATATATACATTGGTCTTCACCAGAGAGATAGCCTTCTGAAACCTATTCTTATTTTTCATACGTTGATACTGGCAAAAAGGTCCCATGATATGACACAGCCACCCTTGACTTCCCCACAGAAGGGGTACTCTCGCTTTATCGCCCCCGGAGGAAGGGATGATGGGCCGAGTCAACCCCCCTCCCCCAACCCCCCGACCAGGATTTGACCTCACGACCTTCGCACTGGGAGCCGCTCGCTCCACCGCCGAGTCACGCGGCCGCTCGTTGCCATTGTATTCTGCTGCACCTCTAGCAAAAAAGAGATTTTGCGGAGTCTCAAGATACGTACGCAAGGGAGGGTTCTGCAGGGTATATTTGGCTGATTGCCGACTCGGCGCCGGTTAGAGACCCACTTTTCTGTGCACTGAAATAGTAACGGTGCAGAACTCTACCATTTCGCCGCACATCCTTTTCTCATAAGCCTCGCTCGTCTTCCTCGTGAGGGACACCCTTGCTGCCCCGGCCGTTGTCCGAGTGTCCGGCACACCACATCCAGTAAGCCTCTCGCTATGGCCGTGACTAATACGAGTCACACGCAAAACCTACCCCCAGTCAATCAGCGACCTGGAAAATAGTGAGAGATGGAAGCTACTGGCTCTGTGACATCATCATCATCCTCGTCAGCCACGATCAATCCACTGCTGGATGAAGGCCTCCCCAGAGCCGACGCAATCTCACGCGACCCTGCGACGATGCAATGGGCAACCGGCGCGCGAGTCGGTTTCGCCGCTCCATCTCCGCATTGAACGTCCCCTCGGATCCGTTCACCGATCCACCCCCCCTCCCCCGTGGCGTTTCACGACCACGCGCTCACCTGCAGGGCCTCGATCTCCCCCTGGTGCCGCGCGTCGTGCTCCTGGATCTGCTTCTCCAGCGACTCGATGATGTCCTTGAGCGCCTCGGCCTCCAGCGTGCGGTGCTGCACGTGGCGACGGAACTCGGAGAGCTCCTCGCGTGTCACGTGCATGGCCTCCGTGTTGCGGCTCGCCGTGTCCGACAGCGCCGTGAACTTGCTCTTGAACCACTCCTCAGCCACCTGCATGTTCTTGGCGGCGAGCACCTCGTACTGCGAGCGGATCTCCCGCAACGCCGACGTGAGGTCCGGCTGCGACGTGCCCATCTCCACGGTGATGTGGGCGCTCTGGATCTGTGCCTGCAGCTCGGAGATCTCCTCGCGCTGCACGCGCTTCAGGAAGCCGATCTCGTCGAGCAGGGAGCCCAGCTTCTGCTCGAGGGCCGCGCGCCGCGCCGCCTCCTCGTCCGCCGCCTTCCTCGCCTCGTCCAGCGCCGCCTCCGACTCCTCGCGCCGCCGGCGCTCCTCCTCGTGCTTGGCACGTATCGCCGCCAGCACCGCCTCCGCCTGCTCGCGGGCACCCCCGGCGCCGGCGCACTCGCCGCGGCACTCCTCGGCAAGGGCGCGCAGCTCGGCGATCTCCTGCTCGTACAGTCGCTTGACGTTGGACGGCTTCTCCTCCTTCTGGCGCAGGATCATCAGCTCGGCCTCCAGAACCTTGTTCTGCTGCTCCAGCTCGTGCACACGCTCGATGAAGCCGGCGAAGCGGTCGTTGAGGCCCTGGAGCTGCTCCTTCTCGTGCCGCCGCACCTGCCGCAGCTCGCTGCCGACGCTCTCGGCCTGCGACAGGTCCACTGTGTCTATGGACGAAGAGGCGCCCAGGGAGTAGCCGGCGGAGAAGCGCGTGTGGCCAGCGCGGCGCGGCGGCGCGCCGTAGGTGGACGCGGCGGAGGCAGAGCGCGCCCCCCCATAGGCCGAGCTCGCGCGGTAGCCCGGCATCTCGTAGCTCGGCCGGTACTTGAGGGCCTCGCCGAAATGGCGGCGGTAGATGGAGGTGACAGCCGAGTCGGATGTGTAGGAGCTCATGGTGTCTGGGAGAGGCAGGAGAGACAGGGAGAGGGGAGGGGAGAGAGACGGACAGAGAGAAGGGAGAGGAGAGAGGGGGCAAAGAGGAGATTTTCATTCAGAAGAGATGGATACCTTAAGAATTGAAAGGTAGAATATGTGGACCATCGGTTTGGCAATGTTTGTATGTTGAACTTCTTTCACATTGTATGTAGCCAACCGTGCCAATTGGAGGGGCGGGGGAAAGACAGCAAACTAAACACAAAAAACGTTTTAAAGAAATGAGTTTTAAAACTAGATTTAAAAGTGCATACAGTGAGGAAAAAAAGTATTTTAACCCCTGCTGCTTTTGTACGTTTGTCCACTGACAAATAAATGATCAGTCTATAATTTTAATGGTAGGTTTATTTGAACAGTGAGAGACAGAATAACAACAAAAATCCACAAAAAAACGCATGTGAAAAATGTTATAAATTGATTTGCATTTTAATGAGGGAAATAAGTATTTGACCCCCTCTCAATCAGAAAGATTTCTGGCTCCCAGGTGTCTTTTATACAGGTAACGAGCTGAGATTAGGAGCACACTCTTAAAGGGAGTGTTCCTAATCTCAGCTTGTTACCTGTATAAAAGACACCTGTCCACAGAAGCAATCAATCAATCAGATTCCAAACTCTCCACCATGGCCAAGACCAAAGAGCTCTCCAAGGATGTGAGGGACAAGATTGTAGACTTACACAAGGCTGGAATGGGCTACAAGACCATTGCCAAGCAGCTTGGTGAGAAGGTGACAACAGTTGGTGCGATTATTCGCAAATGGAAGAAACACAAAAGAACTGTCAATCTCCCTCGGCCTGGGGCTCCATGCAAGATCTCACCTCGTGGAGTTGCAATGATCATGATAACGGTGAGGAATCAGCCTGGAAATACACGGGAGGATCTTGTCAATGATCTCAAGGCAGCAGGGACCATAGTCACCAAGAAAACAATTGGTAACACACTACGCCGTGAAGGACTGAAATCCTGCAGCGCCCGCAAGGTCCCCCTGCTCAAGAAAGCACATATACATGCCCGTCTGAAGTTTGCCAATGAACATCTGAATGATTCAGAGGACAACTGGGTGAAAGTGTTGTGGTCAGATGAGACCAAAATGGAGCTCTTTGGCATCAACTCAACTCGCCGTGTTTGGAGGAGGAATGCTGCCTATGACCCCAAGAACACCATCCCCACCGTCAAACATGGAGGTGGAAACATTATGCTTTTGGGGTGTTTTTCTGCTAAGGGGACAGGACAACTTCACCGCATCAATGGGACGATGGACGGGGCCATCTACCGTCAAATCTTGGGTGAAAACCTCCTTCCCTCAGCCAGGGCATTGAAAATAGGTCGTGGATGGGTATTCCAGCATGACAATGACCCAAAACACACGGCCAAGGCAACAAAGGAGTGGCTCAAGAAGAAGAAGCACATTAAGGTCCTGGAGTGGCCTAGCCAGTTTCCAGACCTTAATCCCATAGAAAATATGTGGAGGGAGCTGAAGGTTCGAGTTGCCAAACGTCAGCCTCGAAACCTTAATGACTTGGAGCAGATCTGCAAAGAGGAGTGGGACAAAATCCCTCCTGAGATGTGTGCAAACCTGGTGGCCAACTACAAGAAACGTGTGACCTCTGTGATTGCCAACAAGGGTTTTGCCACCAAGTCATGTTTGCAGAGGGGTAAAATACTTATTTCCCTCATTAAAATGCAAATCAATTCATAACATTTTTGACATGCGTTTTTCTGGATTTTGTTGTTGTTATTCTGTCTCTCACTGTTCAAATAAACCTACCATTAAAATTATAGACTGTACATTTCTTTGTTAGTGGGCAAACGTACAAAATCAGCAGGGGATCAAATACTTTTTTTCCCTCACTGTAGCTCCAGTGGCTTCCTAATACTGTGTCAGAAGAAAGAGCATTCCAGACAGCCACAGAAGCACATCTGAAAGGGCATGATGCAGTGACCATCTTTGACGAGAGAGAAGATGGTGAGGAGGTGGTGGCTGTAGAGAAGATGGCCAGGTGATGGAGGTGGTGGCTGAAGAGAATATGGCCAGGAGGTGGAGGTGGTGGCTGAAGAGAAGATGGCCAGGACGTGGAGGTGGTGGCCGTAGAGAAGATGGCCAGGTAGTGGAGGTGGTGTCTGTAGAGAAGATGGCCAGGAGGTAGAGGTGGTGGCTGTAGAGAAGATGGCCAGGAGATGGAGGTGGTGGCTGGAACTGCACTGAAGGATGTAGAGGCGCTGGGAAGCAAAGTGTTTCCCCAGTGAGAGACTGCTACAGCCTGAGGGACACCCGAGTCTCCACACCTGAATGTCTACACCTGAGTCTCTACACCTGAATGTCTACACCTGAGTCTCTACACCTGAATGTCTACACCTGAGTCTCTACACCTGAATGTCTACACCTGAGTCTCTACACCTGAATGTCTGCACCTGAATGTCTACACCTGAGTCTCCTACACCTGAATGTCTACACCTGAGTCTCTACACCTGAATGTCTACACCCGAATGTCTACACCTGAATGTCTACACCTGAGTCTTTACACCTGAATGTCTACATCTGAATGTCTACACCTGAGTCTCTACACCTGAATGTCTACACCTGAATGTCTACACCTGAGTTTATACACCTGAATGTCTACACCTGAGTCTCTACACCTGAATGTCTGCACCTGAATGTCTACACCTGAGTCTCTACACCTGAATGTCTACACCTGAGTCTCTACGCCTGAATGTCTGCACCTGAATGTCTACACCTGAGTCTCCTACACCTGAATGTCTACACCTGAGTCTCTACACCTGAATGTCTACACCTGAATGTCTACATCTGAATGTCTACACCTGAGTCTCTACACCTGAATGTCTACACCTGAATGTCTACACCTGAGTTTATACACCTGAATGTCTACACCCGAGTCTCTACACCTGAATGTCTGCACCTGAATGTCTACACCTGAGTCTCTACACCTGAATGTCTACACCTGAGTCTCTACACCTGAATGTCTACACCTGAATGTCTACACCTGAGTTTATACACCTGAATGTCTACTCCTGAGTCTCTACACCTGAATATCTACAAAACACTGGGCGGACGGGTGATGCCCTTCGGGGGCAGGGGGTCAAGGGGCGGGGTCGTCCGTCACGTGCTGCGGCCTCAGTGGTGATCGTGATCTCCCTATTCCGGTCCTCTGCTAGGTTGACTCAGCCTCAAACAATTACGACGCATGTCAATGCATCAGCACTGCAGAGGGCGAAGGGTGGCCAGGCATAGTGGTGCTGTCCACAGCTTGCGCTCGCGTGCTCAGACAGACAAAATCCATCCCCCGTACAGCCTGAACGGGGGGTGGGTGGCGTAAACCACACCCGATTGCCTTTGTCTCCCCAATGGTGGTGTTTACGCATCGCATCAGGTACTCATATGAGGCTGAGTCGACCATGCGGAGGCCCGGGACCGGTTCAGATTATCGCCACTGGTGTTGGCCGTGAGTGGGAATCAAAACTCGCGTCGCCGGGTTTGTATCACAGCGCAGCGCTAACCGCTACACGACTGCGCCCCGTACACAACAACAACCGCCATTCGCCACTAAGTGGCGGTGACGTCACCACGACGCTTGTGCCAGGCCATGTGCACCTTGAGGCCACGTGAAGTGTCAAACACCCACTGGCAGGAGGTCACGGGGCAGACCCAAGTGCCACGGGTCGACTGACTGAGATGACTGAGATGACTGGCTGATGCACCACCTGTGCCCGCTACTGTGCCAACTTGTTGTGCTTTAGCCACCCGGCGCTCCGCTCGTTGTTGCGAGTGTCGCTCCTCCACCCTCCATTGTTGTTGGAGGGCGACTGCCTCTAACTGCCCAGTATCGTCCTTCACGAGCCTCCTCCACCGAGGCCGATCTTGACACCACTGGTACCAGTCATCGGCAAGTCCACTCAGCTCCACGTCCTCCTGTACCACATCACTCCATCTCTTCTCTAGCCCGTGCCGCGCCCGTTCAGCCTCCTCGATCCGGCCAAACGAAAGCTGTTAGGCATGCAGTGGCTGGGCATGCGGGCTACATGGCCCAGCCAACGCAGCCTTGCATTCCAGAGGTGCTCACCGATGGGACTTTGCCCAGATCTTTCGAGGATTTGTGAGCTCCTTGCACAATCCAGCCTGCTTAAACCCAGGATGGATCGTAGGCAGGCCAGCCTAAATGTTTCTAACCAGCGAAGATGTTCCATTAGGGGGGTCCACGTTTTGCAAGCGTAAATAAGGGAGGAAATGACCGTGGCCGAGAAGACCTGAAGCTTCGTGTGGAGCGACGGACTAGGTAGCTTCCACACAGCGTTACGCAACCGATGAAAAGATAATGTCGCTCGACTGATTCGGAGTGAGACCTCTGCTGTTAAACCGGAGCCGGTCATGAGCACACTGGCCAGGTATGGGAAACTCTCCACCCTGTACACACACACACACAGGTACACGTGAAACGGTATATAAGAAGCATTCCCCAAATGTTGCTTAACAATACAGTGAGGGAAAAAAGTATTTGATCCCCTGCTGATTTTGTACGTTTGCCCACTAACGAAGAAATGATCAGTCTATCATTTTAATAGTAGGTTTATTTGAACAGTGAGAGACAGAATAACAAAAAAATGCAGAACAATGCATGTCAAATTTTTTATAAATTGATTGGCATTTTAACGAGGGAAATAAGTATTTGACCCCTCTGCAAAACATGACTTAGTACTTGGTGGCAAAACCCTTATTGGCAATCACAGAGGTCAGACGTTTCTTGTAGTTGGCCACCAGGTTTGCACACATCTCAGGAGGGATTTTGTCCCACTCCTCTTTGCAGATCTTCTCCAAGTCATTTAGGTTTCGAGGCTGACGTTTGGCAACTCGAACCTTCAGCTCCCTCCACATATTTTCTATGGGATTAAGGTCTGGAGACTGGCTAGGCCACTCCAGGACCTTAATATGCTTCTTCTTGAGCCACTCCTTTGTTGCCTTGGCCGTGTGTTTTGGGTCATTGTCATGCTGGAATACCCATCCACGACCCATTTTCAATGCCCTGGATGAGGGAAGGAGGTTCTCACCCAAGATTTGACGGTACATGGCCCCATCCATCGTCCCTTTGATGCGGTGAAGTTGTCCTGTCCCCTTAGCAGAAAAACACCCCCAAAGCATAATGTTTCCACCTCCATATTTGATGGTGGGGATGGTGTTCTTGGGGTCATAGGCAGCATTCCTCCTCCAAACACGGCGAGTTGAGTTGATGCCAAAGAGCTCCATTTTGGTCTCATCTGACCACAATACTTTCACCCAGTTGTTCTCTGAATCATTCAGATGTTCATTGGCAAACTTCAGACGGGCATGTATATGTGCTTTCTTGAACAGGGGGACCTTGCGGGCGCTGCAGGATTTCAGTCCTTCACGGCGTAGTGTGTTACCAATTGTTTTCTTGGTGACTATGGTCCCAGCTGCCTTGAGATCATTGACAAGATCCTCCCATGTAGTTCTGGGCTGATTCCTCACCGTTCTCATGATCATTGCAACTCCACGAGGTGAGATCTTGCATGGAGCCCCAGGCCGAGGGAGATTGACAGTTCTTTTGTGTTTCTTCCATTTGCGAATAATCGCACCAACTGTTGTCACCTTCTCACCAAGCTGCTTGGCAATGGTCTTGTAGCCCATTCCAGCCTTGTGTAGGTCTACAATCTTGTCCCTGACATCCTTGGAGAGCTCTTTGGTCTTGGCCATGGTGGAGAGTTTGGAATCTGATTGATTGATTGCTTCTGTGGACAGGTGTCTTTTATACAGGTAACAAGCTGAGATTAGGAGTACTCCCTTTAAGAGTGTGCTCCTAATCTCAGCTCGTTACCTGTATAAAAGACACCTGGGAGCCAGAAATCTTTCTGATTGAGAGGGGGTCAAATACTTATTTCCCTCATTAAAATGCCAATCAATTTATAACATTTTTGACATGCGTTTTTCTGTATTTTGTTGTTGTTATTCTGTCTCTCACTGTTCAAATAAACCTACCATTAAAATTATAGACTGATCATTTCTTTGTCAGTGGGCAAACGTACAAAATCAGCAGGGGATCAAATACTTTTTTCCCTCACTGTACATGGGGGGAGCGTTTGTCTCCTAGCCCGGAGGATTCGCCTGGGGCTTGAGGCGATTGTTTAATCAATTAATTATTAAGTTAAACACGTAGGCTTTCGTGACCAATATTATTCATAATTAACGTTTTTGGGTTAGATCGCGTTATTTATAAATGTGTGGTAACCCTCCACCACCCGACACGGCCAAACAGTAAAAAAGTGTCACGTTGACAAAGACAAATAGTTCACTACTTTAGCCCATCGGTGTGTTAAAGAGTGAATCCACAACATTTACAATTTTTGAGTGCGACGTTTTGCTGGTAATTACATCCAACATCATCGGGCAATTCGCCAGAATAGTGATGCCCTCACTTGCTCCCGGTCTTAAATAGAGCAGCATTTAACTCACACTTTTTTACTGATTAGCCGTGTCGGGTGGTGGAGGGTTACAACACGTCTATAAATAACGCGATCTAACCCAACAACGTTTATTATAATTAATTAATGATTGATTAATTAATGAGGCGGCCTTCATTGGGTGCTCGCTGCCCGTCCGTGCGCCTGTCCCGTCAGTGTGGCTCGGGCCACGCGCAGGGACACTTTGTGTCGGTGCGCACGAGGACTGTGCCGTGGCAAGATGCGCGTCGCTCTGTTTGACCCCGGGGCCGCACCGACTCTCAATTCCCCCCCCCCCGTCCTCCCCCTGCGGAGCGCCGCGCTGTGACCGGGAGAGAACCCGCTCGGCTCTGGGAGTAACCACGGCGTTTAACCGCGGGGGTGCGCCGAGCGGCCCTGGCCGGGATAGGGGTTCCGTCGCCCCTGAGCTGCAGGGCGAGGGTGTTCTCCCCGCGGGGTCTTCTCAACGCGTGGGGCAAAGCTGTGAAAGGAGGACCGTTTTTTTGTATTTCCGGAGCTCAGCCCCGGGACAAGCTCCGGCTGAAATGATTCGTGGCAGTGGGCGCGCTGCGTGCCTTTAAACTGCAGCATCAGAGACGAGGCCGAGCCAGGGAACCGCCCGCACTGCGACTCACATCCGTCGCGTGTGACGCCTCCTGCACTGCGGACATCCGCGGCATCACCACCCAGCCACTGCATCACCACCCACCCAGCCACTGCATCACCACCCAGCCACTGCATCACCACCCACCCAGCCACTGCATCACCACCCAGCCACTGCATCACCACCCACCCAGCCAGCCACTGCATCGCTCACCCACCCAGCCACTGCATCACTCACCCACCCACCCAGCCACTGCATCACTCACCCACCCAGCCAGCCACTGCATCACTCACCCACCCAGCCACTGCATCACTCACCCACCCAGCCACTGCATCACTCACCCACCCAGCCACTGCATCACCACCCAGCCAGCCACTGCATCGCTCACCCAGCCAGGCAGCCACTGCATCACTCACCCAGCCAGCCACTGCATCACTCACCCATCCAGCCACTGCATCGCTCACCCACCCAGCCACTGCATCACTCACCCACCCAGCCAGCCACTGCATCACTCACCCAGCCAGCCACTGCATCACTCACCCACCCAGCCACTGCATCACTCACCCAGACAGCCACTGTACCACTCACCCACCCGCTGCACCACTCACCCACCCGCTGCACCACTCACCCACCCGCTGCACCACTCACCCACCCGCTGCACCACTCACCCACCCGCTGCACCACTCACCCACCCGCTGCACCACTCACCCACCCGCTGCACCACTCACCCACCCGCTGCACCAATCGCTGCATTGTCACTGCCGCACTGCGTCGCTCCCTTCACAGCGGTCACAGCGCCATTCCTCTCGATGTCACGAACTTGAACGCGACGATCAGTGACCCGCCTGTGTTTGACAGCTTCGCCAAAGTAGACGGGGGTCGATGCCGTCACTACGTTCTGTCCCACTTCGAGCGCGTGGCGATGGCAACAGTAGCGGTAGCTGCCGCACTGCGACTCCGAGTCGCATAAAGTCAGCCGCCACACACACACACGTGTTACCACACGCACACACGTGTCACCACACACACACGTGTCACCACACACACACACGTGTCACCACACACACACACACGTGTCACCACACACACACACACGTGTCACCACACACACACACGTGTTACCACACACACCCGCGTGTCACCACACACACACGCGTGTGACCACACACACGCGTGTGTCAACAAAGACAAAGATGCCGCGTGTAGCCTTAACATACTTTCGTGCCAAGTGCTGTTAGCGAGCACACGATGGGGTGGGTGGCCAGCACCACGCCTGACTGCCCTTGTCATCCTCACTGCTGATGTTTAACCGCTGGGCATGCGCCCTCACTGAGGAGACCTGGGATCTCACATTGAGGAGACCTGGGATCTCACATTGAGGAGACCTGGGGTCTCTCACTCACACAGGAGACCTGGGATCTCACACTCACACAGGATACCTGGGATCTCACACAGGAGACCTGGGAACTCTCACACTCACACAGGAGACCTAGGATCTCGGAGACCTGGGATCTCACACTCACACAGGAGACCTGGGATCTCACACAGGAGACCTGGGGACTCTCACACTCACACAGGAGGCCTGGGATCTCACACTCACACAGGAGACCTGGGGTCTCTCACACACACAGGAGACCTGGGATCTCACACTCACACAGGAGACCTGGGATCTCTCACTCACACAGGAGACTTGGGATCTCACACTCACACAGGAGACCTGGGATCTCACACTCACACAGGAGACCTGGGGTCTCTCACTCACACAGGAGACCTGGGATCTCTCACTCACACAGGAGACCTGGGATCTCACACTCACACAGGAGACCTGGGATCTCACACTCACACAGGAGACCTGGGGTATTTCACTCACACAGGAGACCTGGGATCTCTCACTCACACAGGAGACCTGGGATCTCACACTCACACAGGAGACCTGGAGACTCTCACTCACACAGGAGACCTGGAGACTTACACTCACACAGGAGACCTGGGATCTCTCACTCACACAGGAGACCTGGGATCTCTCACTCACACAGGAGACCTGGGACCTCACACTCACACAGGAGACCTGGGATCTCACACTCACACAGGAGACCTGGGATCTCTCACTCACACAGGAGACCTGGGATCTCTCACTCACACAGGAGACCTGGGATCTCACACTCATACAGGAGACCTGGGATCTCACACTCACACAGGAGACCTGGAGACTCACACTCGCACAGGAGACCTGGGATCTCACACTCACACAGGAGACCTGGGATCTCTCCCTCACACAGGAGACCTGGGATCTCACACTCACACAGGAGACCTGGAGACTCACACTCACACAGGAGATCTGGGGCCTCTCACACAGGAGACCTGGAGACTCACATTCACACATGAGACCTGGGATCTCTCACTCACACAGGAGACCTGGGATCTCTCACTCACACAGGAGACCTGGAGACTCACATTCACACATGAGACCTGGGATCTCTCACTCACACAGGAGACCTGGCATCTCTCACTCACACAGGAGACCTGGGAACTCTCACTCACACAGGAGACCTGGGATCTCTCACTCACACAGGAGACCTGGGATCTCACACTCATACAGGAGACCTGGGAGCTCACACTCACACAGGAGACCTGGAGACTCACACTCACACAGGAGACCTGGGATCTCACACTCACACAGGAGACCTGGGATCTCTCACTCACACAGGAGACCTAGGCTCTCACACTCACACAGGAGACCTGGGATCTCACACTCACACAGGAGACCTGGGGTCTCTCACTCACACAGGAGACCTGGGATCTCTCACTCACACAGGAGACCTGGGATCTCACACTCACACAGGATACCTGGGATCTCACACTCACACAGGAGACCTGGGGTCTTTCACTCACACAGGAGACCTGGGATCTCTCACTCACACAGGAGACCTGGGATCTCACACTCACACAGGAGACCTGGAGACTCTCACTCACACAGGAGACCTGGAGACTCACACTCACACAGGAGACCTGGGATCTCTCACTCACACAGGAGACCTGGGATCTCTCACTCACACAGGAGACCTGGGATCTCACACTCACACAGGAGACCTGGGATCTCACACTCATACAGGAGACCTGGGATCTCACACTCACACAGGAGACCTGGAGACTCACACTCGCACAGGAGACCTGGGATCTCACACTCACACAGGAGACCTGGGATCTCTCACTCACACAGAAGACCTGGGATCTCACACTCACACAGGAGACCTGGAGACTCACACTCACACAGGAGATCTGGGGCCTCTCACACAGGAGACCTAGGAACTCTCACTCACACAGGAGACCTGGGATCTCTCACTCACACAGGAGACCTGGAGACTCACATTCACACATGAGACCTGGGATCTCTCACTCACACAGGAGACCTGGCATCTCTCACTCACACAGGAGACCTGGGATCTCTCACTCACACAGGAGACCTGGGATCTCTCACTCACACAGGAGACCTGGGATCTCACACTCATACAGGAGACCTGGGAGCTCACACTCACACAGGAGACCTGGAGACTCACACTCACACAGGAGACCTGGGATCTCACACTCACACAGGAGACCTGGGATCTCTCACTCACACAGGAGACCTGGGCTCTCACACTCACACAGGAGACCTGGGATCTCACACTCACACAGGAGACCTGGGGTCTCTCACTCACACAGGAGACCTGGGATCTCTCACTCACACAGGATACCTGGGATCTCACACTCACACAGGAGACCTGGGATCTCACACTCACACAGGAGACCTGGGGTCTTTCACTCACACAGGAGACCTGGGATCTCTCACTCACACAGGAGACCTGGGATCTCACACTCACACAGGAGACCTGGAGACTCTCACTCACATAGGAGACCTGGAGACTCACACTCACACAGGAGACCTGGGATCTCTCACTCACACAGGAGACCTGGGATCTCTCACTCACACAGGAGACCTGGGATCTCACACTCACACAGGAGACCTGGGATCTCACACTCACACAGGAGACCTGGGATCTCTCACTCACACAGGAGACCTGGGATCTCTCACTCACACAGGAGACCTGGGATCTCACACTCATACAGGAGACCTGGGATCTCACACTCACACAGGAGACCTGGAGACTCACACTCACACAGGAGACCTGGGATCTCACACTCACACAGGAGACCTGGGATCTCTCACTCACACAGGAGACCTGGGATCTCACACTCACACAGGAGACCTGGGATCTCACACTCACACAGGAGACCTGGAGACTCACACTCACACAGGAGATCTGGGGCCTCTCACACAGGAGACCTAGGAACTCTCACTCACACAGGAGACCTGGGATCTCTCACTCACACAGGAGACCTGGGATCTCTCACTCACACAGGAGACCTGGAGACTCACATTCACACATGAGACCTGGGATCTCACTCACACAGGAGACCTGGCATCTCTCACTCACACAGGAGACCTGGGATCTCTCACTCACACAGGAGACCTGGGATATTTTCTCGCACTCACCGGACGCTGGCAGCTGAAGTCGTTGCTCCCTCGCGGTTCGGAGAGAAATGGGAGCTCCGTGCCGTCCCGCGGCTCTTGTACCGCGATGCCCCCCCCTTGCATCCCCTCCCTGCATCCCCTCCCTGCATCCCCCACTGCAGCAGCAGAAGCGTCACGTTCACGACTGCTGCTGCAGGCTTGGCTGAGCACGCACAACCCGCATCGCCTAATTAATGACGATCAATTACGCCGCTCGTCAGAGATTGATCTCGGATGGAAATGACTCGGAAATGTTGGCACGACGCATCCAGCGAGCCTCTCGTCGTACTCGCGAGACTGCGGTTGGGGCATGTTTTAGTGTAGTGGGGTGTGTGTCTGTGTGTAGTGGTGTGTGTAGTGATGTGTGTGTCTGTGTGCAGTGGTGTGTGTAGTGGTGTGTGTGTCTGTGTGTAGTGGTGTGTGTGTAGTGGTGTGTGTGTAGTGGTGTGTGTAGTGGTGTGTGTGTTTGTGTGTAGTGGTGTGTGTGTGTAGTGATGTGTGTGTCTGTGTGTAGTGGTGTGTGTGTCTGTGTGTAGTGGTGTGTGTGTAGTGGTGTGTGTGTAGTGGTGTGTGTGTCTGTGTGTAGAGGTGTGTGTGTAGTGGTGTGTGTGTAGTGGTGTGTGTGTGTGACGGACCAGCGAATGCGAGCCCATGTTCTTGACACCAGGACCTACCGTGGAGCTGATCTGCCCTCTGACCATCGACTAGTCATCTGTAAGATGCGCCTGCCATTCTTCCACTCCGGTGGTGGGTGTACACCCAGGACCCCATTCCGACCTAAAGTGGCCTGGTCTCAGTTATCTGATGAAAGTTGCAAGCGAGAATTTCATCATCGCTTGCGGCTGGGATTGGCATCGTCCCCGACTCCTCCTGATGTCGAGGGTAAATGGGCGAGGTTTAGGACTGTGACTCATGCAGCTGCAATGGCTGCTTTAGGTACGCGGTCCAGACGTCCCCAGAGACCCTGGCTGACAGAGGAGGTCTTCAGGATGGTTGAGAAAAAGCGACAGGCCCACTGTCATCGGCTACAGAATCCCACGTCAGAGAATGAGGAGGCTTACCGCAGCCGTCGCTTGGAGGTTCGGAGAGCCGTGAGGCGCTGCAAGGATGGGTGGTGGTCGCGGGTTGCTGAGGAGATGGAGTCTGCCTCAGTGGCCCGTGATCAGAAATCTCTATTTAACTCCATCAAAAAAGTAACCTGCAGCGCCACACCTATTACCATCATTAGGGGAAAAAACAGTGATCCAATCTCTGACCCCCAAGAACAGGTTTTCAGATTTGCTGAGCATTTCTGTGAGGTCCTGGGGGAGGGAAAATCCCTCAGCCAGGAAAACATCGTGGCACAAAGTGAGGATGACCCTGCTGAGGCTGCGGTGCCTCAAATATTGGAAGAAGTCACCCCCTGTGAGTGGCTGGCTGAGGTGCCAT